TTTTTATTTTTGTTTTTATTTGAGGTTTTTGCTTTATTGAACCCAGGAACGAATGTAGTGCTTTGTTGCGTTTTTTTTTTTAGTTTACCAGGCAACGCGTTGAGCCATTTTTTTTGTTTTTTTTATTATTGAGTCCCCCTCACGCTTTACGTTTTCTGTTCGACTGATGACTTGCCGTCCTAAAATGACGTTTCGTACTTCTGGATCATGGTGTTTGGGCTTTGTACAAGTGAACCACCACCCTGTTTTTCGGTATAAATGGACCAAAACGTTAGGGCTCAGTATTACCATTACCACGCTAGCATTAGCATAAAAGTCTCAGCATACTTGGATTCCCTGAGCAGGATAATGTAACACAAATATTCTCACTAAAGTCAACATATTCAGAGTGTTACACTAGAATCGTCATACTAGGATCGTCACACTAGAATCTCTCGTATGTATATGTTACAAGATGGTTCTAATGTGTATATATTTTAAGGGACCTCTATAATTGTGTTTATGTTCCAAAGTAGCTCAAGTGAGGATACATTTCTTGGCTGATCTACTGAATATACGGTCCAGTGTTGTTTTGTGTTTATATTCCATGGTGATCCTGTCAATAGAACCACCTTGGAACATATATACACTAGAGCTACGTGTGTATATCACGAAAATTAACACGTGATGAAAAATGTGACAGTGTCAGACCACGAAGGAAGAACTGAAACAGGCATTTCCTTAAGTACTTTCGTATTTAATAATTACCCTCCTGAAGATGTATTATTAAATACAAAAGTACTTAAGGAAATTCCTGTTTCAATTCTTCCTTCGTGGTCTGACATTGTCACACTAGAGCTGCCTTGTACCCTTGGCCAAAATACCACTCCTTCGAGAAACAACAGGTAAATCCGACGTTTCTGTGTTGTTTGGAGGCTAGTGGAAAGTTGGCGTACATTACCCAACTTGATCAAAGATAATGTAACATACAAACACTCACAGTTCTGAACTCTCTCAATGTAGCATCAGACACCAGCAAGTAAAAAAAATGAAACGATTAGGGAGGATTTTACAGGATCTTCAAGCGATTTAATAGACGGAAGAACTTTGAAGTAAGGTCGATTTGAATCGAATATGTATATCAAGTGAGGAACAACAAGTGGTAGTAGATTCCATAAATTCTGGATGGGGGGCGTCGAGAATAGCATTGGCAAACTCCGGGGAAGACCTTCCCTAACATATTCATCCAGAGACTGTCACGCAAGACTGACTGACATGATGACTTTGGCGGCAGAAGAGCAGAGTTATTGACACGCTTCGTACGGACGCCATTGATCTGGCGTCCTTGGTCTTAGATTAAAAAAAAGAAACTCCACGGGAAGGTGAGAAGGGAGGATAGTACTGATACAGTACAGTATGTTTCAGAGAAGTGGATAGGCCAGAATAGTGTCAGAGCAAGAATCAGCTGCAGGAATAGTGCCAGGGCTGGACCCAGTAGGTGAATATAATTATTCAACGCAAAGATCTCGGTGGCAGAAACACATAGCGGTATGAACTACGTAATTACTTAATTAACTTTCTCATTTCAGCTTATAGCTAGTGTAAATGTGTTTATATAGGGCACTGTATATCTTTATCTATGCATTAGAATGTCTGCTAGAGGTTGGAAGCCAGACGCCTGGCGCTAGTCTCTCCGAATTTTTCATCGTACCTGCTGTCGGTCATATGCCCAACATGGCCAGACAAAGGTCTTCACCAATCAACCGGCGCTGTTCCAAAAAGAACCACGTGAACTTACTGGCAATTCTAGCATGGACCTTTAAAACATTCTAAAAACAAAACAAAATAATTTTTTTTCTTTCCACATAGTTAAGCATTACAAACTGATGTCCTCGGTGAGAGAGAGAGAGAGAGAGAGAGAGAGAGAGAGAGAGAGAGAGAGAGAGAGAGAGAGAGAGAGAGAGAGAGAGAGAGAGAGAGAGAGAGAGAGAGAGTCAGACAGACAGGCACGGGTCTGTCTGTCTAAAAATATATATACATATATTCTTTTTAAATAAATTCCGTTCTTCTAAAGTCACTGTTCTTTAAATACTGCTATTGTAACGCCACGGTGAAGCTTGACTTGCCAATTGCAACAGTTATAGAACTTGAGGTTGTCGGGACGAGACTTGTGACTCAGGAACGTAGAGAGAACCAATACACTGTAGTTAATTAATCCATGCAACTTCATTACTTCCCTAATTCATGCAACTTTAGTACCTTCCTAATCTCTTTAACTTTAAATAAAAATTTTGTTTTTAAATAATTTGCAACTTGCAAAATAAAACAAAAAATACATTTCCTGGCTGGGAGGGGTACCACCTCTGGTGCAAGTGTAGGGACCCATAGCCTCGGAGAAGAAAATATTTTCAATACTGGCTAGTATTTCCTTAAGAAACATAATCAAGACATTCCTGGTTCTCACCTAAGCGAACCTACGAACCCTAAATCATCTTTCTTTTTAAGACTTAAGCAAAGCTTTAACTGGAAAATTAAAAATTCTTGCTTGTCTAACTATCGGGAATTTTTTAATCTAATACCGCTCCTGCCTTTAGGTTGTTGTGGGCCAATTATCCAGCGTCTGGCAACTCACGGAGCATTATTAGCATCTCACTTTTATTGTCTGCCAGGAGAGGTTTATTATTCTTTAATAAACCATATTTTATATCATATTTTGGTTAATAATGCCGGATTAAATTCATGCTTTAAGATATACTTGAAGATATAGTAGTACGAACACAGAAAAAGTCTCTCTCTCTCACTCTATACATATATATATATATATATATATATATATATATATATATATATATATATATATATATATATATATAGAGAGAGAGAGAGAGAGAGAGAGAGAGATACATATATATATATATATAATAGGGGCACAACCTCTGGTGCAACTGCAGAGACCCACATCCACGAAGAAGAAAACAAAGAGCTTTCAGAGAAGACCTTGTGGATTCTCACTGAACATTTTAATCTTTTCTTCTCCTACCACCTCTATTATTTCTTTGTATGTTTTGTTTTGTTTTATTTTCTTCTATTTTATTGCAATGCTACAGTTTACAGAGAATATACACACACACACACACACACATATATATATATATATATATATATATATATATATATATATATATATATATATATATATATATATATACATACATATATATATTTTATATACATATATATTAAAAAATATATTAGGTTTTCGTGTCATTTAATCAATCTAATGGAACTCTCCATTACTAAGGCTTGTATCCAAGGGTTCCCCTTGGTCGAATGATTCCCTGGAACCTATTGATCTTCTAGGTGAATAGAGGCATTAAGTGATATGAAACATGCCCAATAATTTCTGTCCCTCCCGGGGGATCGAACCCTGGATCCTCTATTGCGAGTCGAGCACCGACGACATGTTATCATACATACAGATTCGAGAACTGCTATTGAAACCTTGCAACGAGAACACATACGTGATAACGTCCATATGATCTCAAATGTCATATCATTAATGCAAACACTCAAACGACAAAGCCGTCGGGTACTTATCAACTGGGTGCCAAGTCATGTGGGAATAATAGGGAATGCCATTGCAGACAAAGCTGCAAAACTTGCAAGTAAGAGAAGAAATATAGACAGTTACATACCACAGAGTCTATCCCAGATTAAGAAAGTAATTAGAAACAGAGCAATGCAAAAGATGTACAGTGACCACAACACAGCAGTTGCAACATCAGGATCTGCGGGTTGGTACAAGAATTCAACCAACTACGAACAACTTAGTTTGATGAAAGGGAGCAGTAGAGCAACAGAAGTACACTTACATCGCATCAGGCTTGGATACCCATGTGCATGGGAAATAGGCTTACAAGTTCCGGAAGATGAGAGGAAATGTCAACACTGTGGGGAAATGCCTGACAGACCACTGGAACATTATCTAACACAGTGCACAGTTACAAACCCATTAAGATTTCACCTTAGATTCAACAGAGCAGAAGAAGTTGTTAAACGCATGGCACAAAATCTTACTGTAGCGACCATACGAGTCATAAATACTCATACTCCGCCCAAGTAAAACAGAAACAAACAACGCTTAGTGTGCCAGCCAGAGGCTTAGGGCCCCCCAGGAATATCCCTGAATAAAAAAGATTGCGAGTCGAGAGCGTAGACCACTGTGCTGCTAGCCAATGCCATTTTTTCACCTTTCGAAATGCATTAAGCTTTGTCTAGCTATCAAGGCAATTGATGATTCGTCGTTCAAAGAGAACGGTCTAGTCAACACGACGGACAAACCTACATGATCAATACTTTCACCTCTCAAGGGTTCCAGACCGCCAGGGTTCGAACCCTGGCGGTCAAGCCTACCGCAATGATCAGCCAGGGTGCCAATCTTAGCCGAGCCGGTAAACTGATTTACCGGCATTTGCAACCGGTGCTAGCAGTTGAGGACGTGGTTATTAAGAACTACGCTAGCAGGAGTGTATGTGGCTAGTTAGGTACCTAACTAGCAGGTGACTATTTTGTATTTACAAACATCGTTTGTAGATGGGTATACAAGTGGTTATTTACGTTCTTGTAGATGGGTATATATGTGGTTATTTACGTTCTTGTAGATGGGTATATATGTGGTTATTTACGTTCTTGTAGATGGGTATATATGTGGTTATTTACGTTCTTGTAGATGGGTATATATGTGATTATTTACGTTCTTGTAGATGGGCATATATGTGATTATTTACGTTCTTGTAGATGGGTATATATGTGGTTATTTACGTTCTTGTAGATGGGCATATATGTGGTTATTTGCGTTCTTGTAGATGGGCATATATGTGGTTATTTACGTTCTTGTAGATGGGTATATATATGGTTATTTACGTTCTTGTAATTGGGTATATATGTGATTATTTACGTTCCTTGCTAGTGTATATGTGTATGTCATCATTGTCGAGCCTCGCCAGTTGGTATGTGGCTATTTACGAGCCTCTCTGGTAAGTATGTTGGTATTTACGCTCCTTGCTAGTAGTATGTTGCTCCTTATGAACCTTGCTAGTAGTATGTTGTTCCTTATGAACCTCGCTAGTAGTATGTTGCTCCTTATGAACCTCGCTAGTAGTATGTTGCTCCTTATGAACCCCGCTAGTAGTATGTTGCTCCTTATGAACCCCGCTAGTAGTATGTTGCTCCTTATGAACCCCGCTAGTAGTATGTTGCTCCTTATGAACCTCGCTAGTAGTATGTTGCTCCTTATGAACCTCGCTAGTAGTATGTTGCTCCTTATGAACCCCGCTAGTAGTATGTTGCTCCTTATGAACCCCGCTAATAGTATGTTGCTCCTTATGAACCCCGCTAGTAGTATGTTGCTCCTTATGAACCCCGCTAGTAGTATGTGGCTCCTTATGAACCCCGCTAATTGTATGTTGCTCCTTATGAACCTCGCTAGTAGTATGTTGCTCCTTATGAACCCCGCTAGTAGTATGTGGCTCCTTATGAACCTCGCTATTAGTATGTTGCTCCTTATGAACCCCGCTAGTAGTATGTTGCTCCTTATGAACCCCGCTAGTAGGTACGTGATCTTCATACAGACCTTAAGAGAGGACCAGAAAGATTTAAGGGAGAGTTTTATGTCCGAATAATCCATCTCCCACATGACACTGTGGGAGATGGTATAAGTATAAGTGGTATAAGTCACAAACCGGTACTCCTTAAATTACACTTTATGTAACCAACTTCCACTGCCACCTCAGCCGGAAACTCCCACTTACACCCACTTGCCACACCACCTACCAATCACCCACTTGCCACACCACCTACCAATCACCCACTTGCCACACCACCTACCAATCACCCACTTGCCACACCACCTACCAATCACCCACTTGCCACACCACCTACCAATCACCCACTTGCCACACCACCTACCAATCACCCACTGTGTCTGCCTTACCAGGGAGTTAATCCCTGGTGCCGTGTCTTAAGGAAACAAATATAAATTAAAAGAAGACTCCTCCTCCTCTCCTGAGGGAAGGCCGAGGGCCCTGGAGGGCGGAGCGGGTAACCTAATATATCCCCTGTGTAGGAGAGGAACTATGCCATTAAAAATGGTATACGTGAGAGAGAGAGAGAGGTGGGTTAGCGGGAGCTTTCACTTCCGTCCTGCGGGAGTGGCAGCAGAGAAACCAGCTTTGGCTTCGTGAAGGGAGAGGGGGGGGGATTCTGGTTATAGTTCCAGCAGGAGCAATGCTGTCGGAAGCAGGAAGCAGGAATGAGTCAGAGGTAGCAGGAAGAAAACTCTGTGGCGTGGGGACTTGTTTCTTTCTTAAGAGACACTCGCAAAAGACCATCTGCTCAACTCTAACAGCAAAAAAGCAAAGCAGTAGAAGCAGAAATAATAGCAAAAAAGCAACAGAAGCAGCAATGGCAACAGTAACAACAGTAACAACAGAAACAGAAGCAGCAGTGTCAAAAGTGAGAGGAGTGAGGCGGACACTCCACCAACCAATATAGTTGAATGGATCCACAACTTCTTAGAGACGTTTTCCTACTCTAATGTACTGTGGGTCAAAGTATTGATTCTGCCACATTCTCCCCTAACTTATGAGACTAGGAAGAGCCCTCTCACACAATACTAGTTATTGCCTAGGCACTGAAGTGGATTCCATCTATGAACAAAGATTTGTTTCATAAAAGTGAAGACAATTTCTGTCTTAACTTAGATTTTCTAACTTAATTTGACCAAATGATCTTGTATTAAGATCACCCTGAAGGAAGCAACGCAGTGAACCGGAACCAAAAAAATAATATATATTGCATTTAATTTACGATTATTATATATTATTTCATTGTATGGGGAACTAGTTTGAATTAGTCTTCACAGGATTTATAGACAAAGATGAATATCCAGCGAGGAGTTCGAATGAAAGTGAGGAAACTGTGGGAGATGACGGCCGGCTGGAATCATGTTCGCTTGAGTCATATTCACTGGGTAATGAGATTAAGAGGGACATTAAATATAATTTCTTGGTCTCAAGTACTCGTATTATTTCTGGTAATTCAAAGTTAGCAGAAACTAAGAGGATTATGAGAATGATTTGCATTCAACACGTATGGATAATATATATATATATATATATATATATATATATATATATATATATATATATATATATATATATATATATATATATATATATATATATATATATATATATATATATATATATATATATATATATATATATATATATATATATATATATATATATATATATATATATATATATATATATATATATATATATATAATTGTCATACTCCCTCTCTATTCGGTTCCCTTTTATCAGTCTCTCAGAAAGGAGTCTTCAACTGCCTCCTTAATCTCATCCCCTTCAACATTTCCCATTTTATTTACCTTGTTAATTTTATTTCAGTTTGAGTCACCTACAATGCAGATCTCAGATTCATATTCTGACCTAGAATATTTCTCTCTGATATTTTGCCCAGAATAATTCTCCACAATTATGTTTATCTATATTTTACTCTTTCTAAAGCTCGTGGGCCTGTATATTTATTCCTTTTATAAGGCATTCTTTATCTCAGTTCAATCAAACTATTGTCATCATGAACAGTGGAGTTGATTCTCTGTTTGACGCAGTTTTTTGCATTCTCTGAGATAATGGATGCTGCTCCACCCTCTCATCTAACTTAACTCTCAAGTCTTAAGCAATTTATACCATTTAATAAGTTCTCGTTTCTTGCATATAGTCTCCTGTTCTCAACACTTCTCCATGTTTCTGTAAGTGCAGTTGCATATATTTTCTCTGTGCATGCAAGTGCCCTTAATTTGTCCAGTCTCCTTATGGCATTGTTATAGTCATATTTGCATCGTTATTTTTCATATCACATCGAAAAATTTCTTAAAAAAATCTAAAATATTTGGTTATCTTTACTTAATAATTTCTTTCTTATGTTGTACTTCGGTTTGCAACCATTCCGTAGTGAGAATTGTTGCAAACAATTCAATTCTCAACTCACCCCCAGACCACTGTCATCAAGTAGTGCAAGGCCCGACAGATCCTATAAAAACGGGCCTCTTCACTGACGCGGCTGCGATATATCCTCCCCTGCCCTAGTCAAATGCACCCCATCACTCGCATAAATGTCAGATTTGCCCTATAATTTGTGCCCGTTGTCTATGAACGATGCTCCAATCGATTTATGATACTTTTCGTGGGGCTACCTTAAGGCTTCCTTACAGTTACCTTACAGCTACTTTGCGGCTACCTCGCGGCTACTCTGCGTTAGTTCTGTGGCTTGACCTTTGACCTCTTATCCCACTTTACATTGTTAACATGTTAACTCCTCTAGGCGAGAGGTAATGTACCCAGCAGAGTCACGCCGTAACACCGGCGGTTCATTTAAGTCATTGTGATATTATTAAGCTTCGTTTTTCTCCTTAGTTCGGCTTGCAGTATTTCACTCCGGCATTTTGCCTGTAGTGGCGGGGCGTGGAACACAGACAAGTAGTGAGTCAATGAACACAGACTCATGGTGAGTCAAGAAACACACACACTCATGGTGAGTCAAGGAACACACACACTCATGGTGAGTCAAGAAACACACACTCATGGCGAGTCAAGGAACACACACTCATGGTGAGTCAAGGAACACATACTCATGGTGAGTCAAGCTGAATACAAGTCATTGTCAAAGAGACCATGAGGACAAGCGGGACAAAGACCAACCAAGAACTGTAACTTAGAAACCCAAACCCGGATTACCAGACGACGAAATGCAGTTCACTTTTGTCAAGGAATTCTTTCCCAAAACACATACGCTTGTTTGTTTCTATTCGAGTGCCAGAACCCAAAAATTCTTCGTGTTGCGAAGGCTGCGAGGAGATATAAAGGGCCACACTGACTGCCTGACCCCAATTAAGAAGCTTTGAGAGCGGCTGCAGTCACCCCATGCTGCTTTTGAGATGAAAGCAGTCTGGCTTGTGAGAAGAATGATTCTTCCCCCCTTCAATATCTCACTTCGAAAAGAATCTGCGGCACTGTTTCAGGTGGATCTTCGTGGTATTCTACGCTATGACTTTTGATTGTGTTTCAGGCAGCATTGCATTTACATTCCTTCCCCCCTCCCTCCCCCTATATACTGTAAACAAAGAGCAACTCATCAACAGCAGTGCCAGCAAACACAGCAGACAGGTTGATGCGAGCAAGAGCGTTGTTATGAGGGGAGCTGTGGGTGGTAGGAGGTCTTTCAGGGTCGTTATGGTCCTCTAATGGTTGTTCGGTGGTTGCTACCTAGCTCTACCCCCCACCACCCACCTCCCCTCCCCTTTCCCTCCCTCCAGCCCCCCCCCCCTAAATATATTATTAAGAAATTGCGTAAGTAAACTTCAGACTCCACAGACATCACATTCCAGACTCCATCTCGGATTCATCATACAAAATTCATGAAAATCGCTTTAGGTGTTGGGTTCCATGCTATATTTCTTAAAGCACTTAACACAGGCCTCCCCCCCCCGACCAGCCTATGTCCGACCCATACCCCACACCACTTCTCCTGCAAATTTCGATGAGGCTAGCCCCAAACGTTTGGCCTCCAACTTTGGACAGACAGATAGCAAGATAGACATTCTCTCTTATAGTATAGAAACAAGTATAACACAAACAAGTTAGGTTATTAGAGTATGAATAATAGACACAATTTAATTTTTGCCTTCCTATAAATATTCTAAAATCAGACAGCAGATCAAGAAGCAGGAGAGTTAGCAACAGATCAAGCAGCAGCTGATCAAGAAGTAGAAGATCAAGCAGCAGCAGCAGCATTAATAAAACCTATAACAAAAGTAACATCTTGTGCTATAACATGTTAATAGATGTAACGGTAGTAGTAATATTAACAGCAGGAAAAACATCTTAGAATCAGCAATACACATTCATGAACGATAACAAAAAAGCATAATTGAAGCAGTAGGAAGCACAGAAGCAGCAGTAGCAGCTCAATAGAACAGCAACAATAACAGCAACAACAGTAAAAGTAGCTGTAATATTGAGAGTCAGATTAACATGCAGCCGCAAATGAAACAGTCAACAAGGAAAGGTTGCAGGCGCAGCAATAGAGGGTTATTGCTGCATTTTTCCATTGACAAGACGACTCTATAAAGAGGAACTTGTGTTCTGCAGCTCCTTTGGCCGAGAGCCGAACTGATCCAGCCAGGGAAGAGGGAACAGTTTCGGAGTGAGAGAGAGAGAGAGAGAGAGAGAGAGAGAGAGAGAGAGAGAGAGAGAGAGAGAGAGAGAGAGAGAGAGAGAGAGAGAGAGAGAGAGAGAGAGAGAGAGAGAGAGAGAGAGAGAGAGAGAGAGAGAGAGAGACAGACAGACAGACAGACAGACAGACAGACAGACAGACAGACAGACAGACAGACAGACAGGCAGACAGACAGACAGACAGGCAGACAGACAGACAGACAGACAGACAGACAGACAGACAGACAGACAGACAGACAGACAGACAGAAGATAAAGGTAGTGCTCCCAACTCTTTAGAAAAACAAGAGCACATGAGGCATGACAATGAC